GGATTGTCGAATCGTGACCCGGTCCGCGACCCACCCGCGACCCGGCCGCGACCCACCCGCGACTCCCCACGACCCACTCGCGACCCGGCCGCGACCCCCCCGGCGCCCGCCCCTTCTCTTTTCCACAACTGCGGGGTGATACACAATGTGTACATACATACATACATACATACATACATACATACATACATGCATACATGCATGCATGCATGCATGCATGCATGCATGCATGCATGAATGCATGCATACATACATACATATATACCTGCATACATGCATACATATATGCATACATGCATACATGCAAGCATGCATGCATACATGCATACATACATGCATACATACATGCATGCATACATACATACATCAATGCATGCATACATACATACATACATACATACGTACATGCATGCATACATACACATACAGACATACATACATACATGCATGCATGCATGCATGCATACATGCATGCATGCATACATACATACATACATGCATGCATGCATGCATGCATGCGTATACACATACAGATGTGCATACACATACAACCGTATGTATACATGCATGCATACATACTTACATGCACGCACGCATGGATGCATACATGCATACAAGCATACACACATGCATACATACGTACAGGCATACATGCATACATACATATATGCATACGTACATACAGACAAACATGCATACATACATGCAGACATGCATGCATGCATCCATATGCCTAACTAAGCATGCGTGCACACATATACATATACATAGATGTATATATGCTTGATTGTGTACAATAACAACACTGCAGCTGTGCATACATATATATATATACATATATATATGTGTGTATGCCTGTCACCGTGCCGCGATGCGCGAGGGGAGTGTTCCCCAGGCTAGCATATGTGCTCTGTCCTGGGTGCTGTATTATAACATTCCAGGGGCTAGGGCCCCACATTCTCAGACTATTCGGGCTCCAATTAGAAGAGCGGCGCTCTGCTACTTTGCCTCGGCGCAGGGTTCCCCATCCTGCTCGGGCTCTGATTGGCAAAGAGCCGCCCTGCTGATTCGCATGAGAGCATGTACGTGTTCACTGCCCCTCTTCTCATGAGCAGAGCGCCGCGCTGCTAATTTGACACAAGGGACGCGCACTCGCTGCTCATATTTCAATCACCCGAGGGCCCCGACACGGGCAAGAGGGCCACAAGGAGCGCCCCAGAGGATCCGAGAGCCTCCAATACTGCCCAAGTGCTCTCCAATACGCCCACGGTGGCCCCAAGACGGCCCAGGAGGCCCCACAGAAGCCCCAGGAGCGCTCCAAGGGGACCTCCAAGGGGGCCCCAAAATGCAAAAATCGTGGGTTGTATGTGTGCTGTTCAGTGTGTGTTGCTTTCTCGCGCGTTCGAACTTCCGACGCCCCAAAATGGCACCAGAGGCCCCCAAAACCGCCCCAAGACCGCCCAAGAAGCCCCCAAAAGGTCCCCAAGACGGCCCACGAGGGCCCCAAAACGGCCTAAGAGGCGTCCAAGACGGTCCGGGAGAGTCCCAAGACTGGCCCAAGGGGGGAACACGAACCGACAATCTGAGCCTCCAGCCCCAAGCAGCCCACAAGAAGCCCCAAGAGGCATCCGAGAGGCCCCAAGAGGCGCCCAAGACGAGACCCCCGAGAGGCCACAACCAAAAAACCGCACCGAGGGGCCCCCAAACTGCCCCCAGGGGGGCATCACACCTGACTCCAAGAGACCCCCGAGAGCACCCCCCCCACGATACCCCAACGAACACCCACGGGGCCTCTTAACCCGAACCCACAACCCAGGCAGGGTGGCAGGATTGGCCGACAACCGTATCTGGATTATATAATTTGCATACACACGGGCAAACTCGTTCTATCAGGGTTTGGCTCAAGGGTTCCCACCTCGGGCGTGTGGCTCGCCACTGTGGCCAACGGCCCTCGACAACGCCGAGCATGCGGCCAGACCTGGATTCGGTATGACTTCGCTTCGGGGGCCAGTCTCACCGTGCCTGACCTCCTGCTCCGCGCTCCCTTCCACACCCTCTTCCCTGGTCCTGGAACCCCCCTCGTCCATCTGCCCCCTCCGTCCGCCTCTTCCTTCCTCCTCCGTCCTCCTCATTCCTCCTCCTTATCCTCCTCCTCCTCCTCCTCCTCCTCATCCTTCCCCTGCTCTCAAGCACCGCCTCCTTCTCCTGCACATCCTCCGCTTCCTCCTCCACCTCCTCCGCCTCATCATCATTATCAACATCCTCGCCCTCCTCCTCCTCCTCCTCCTCCAAATCACCACCGCCCTCCTCATCCCCATCAGCCGCAACATCATCATAATCACACTCATCAGCAGTGCCAGTATCACCAGCAGCATCATCATCACCATCATCATCACCCTCAGCAGCATCATCAACACCATCAGCATCATCATCATCAGCAGCAGCAACATCATCATTACCGGCATCCGCAACATAAGGAACATCATCGTCGTCATCGTCAGCATCATCATGATACTCATCATCGACAGCAGCATCATCATCAGCTGCAGCATCAGCGTCACCAGCAACATTTGCATCATCACCATCGCCACCATCATCACCACCACCAGCATCACCGTCATCGTCATCATCAGCATCATAATCAGCATCACCAGCATCATTAACATCAGAAGCAGCATCATCAGCATCAGCATCAGCATCACCATCATCATCAGCAGCAGCATCATCATCGTCAACATCATCGTCAGCAGCAACATAATCATCATCACCATCACCATCACCATCACCATCATCAGCATCATCATCATCATCATCATCATCATCATCATCATCATCCCCATGTTCATCCCCCTCTTTCCCAGAGCCCCGAAACCCCTCTTTCTCCACCTCCATCTCCTGCACCACATAGCCCCCTTCCCCTCCCCGCCCTCCTCCTGATACTGGTTCCCCCCCTCACCGCCCCTACTCCTCCCCATCCTCTTCCAACTCATCTTCCTGTTGTGCCTTCTCCTCCTCCCTCCTCGTCCTCTTCTTTCCTCATTCCTCCTAATCCGTAGTCGCCTTCCCCCCCCCCATGATCATGACCCGTCATTGCCGAAACCATGCGCCATCAGTATCATCATCGGCATCAACATCACCGCCATTGCCTTCTTCCCTCCAGGAGCGCCCCCCCAGAAAGCTAGATTGCCCCTCCTCGTCCTATCTCCGTCCTCAATCCTCTCCTCATTCTCATCCTCCCATTCCTCCTCCTCCTCCATCCGCCTCCCGCACTTCACTCGACATCATCTTCCCTCCTCATCCTCCGCCTCCCTTCCCCCCACGCGCGCACGGAGTTGGAGGAGGATGGGTGCAAAGGGACGATGAGGAGAAGAAGGCGGAGAAACTAGAGAAGGAGGATAATCAGAAGAAGGATGGGTGGGAGGGAGGAGGCAGGGATGAGGATGGAGGAGTACGGTTTCAGATGGAGGAGGAAGAGAGGGAAGAAGAGACGAAAGGAGAAACGAGTGAGAGACGGAGGAGGACGGAGGCGACCCAACGAACGAATGATTCTGCAGAAGCGTGCCAACAAGAACCTGCGTTGTGCGCTGGAACTGGGCCGGCTATACCTGTTCCCTGACCGACTCGCCTCTGTAGGGCGCGGTGCTGAGAAGGAACTCTCGTTACACGTGGCATTAGATGCACTCTAGCTCCCGCCCGCCCCCTACCTCGGCTGAAATGCCAGATGCTATGAGGGCTGGGCGCGGCCGCAGGGTCGGGACAAGATTGGGGTGCGTGTGAGCTCCTGCACTCGAGGCCCCCCCCCCAAGGAGGACCGAGGCCGCGGACAGGCAGAAGAGGAAGAGGCAACGGGGCCCCCTCAGGGGCCCGAGGCAAGCGGGAGAGGAGCGGGTAAGAGGAGGGGGGGGACATCGGTGCAGAGGGGGACAACCCAAGCAGGCAGAAACCTCCCCGCTCGTAAGCCCAGGAGACGCATCGAAAGACTGAGCAACCTCGGGTCGGTCCAGGGCCCCTGAAGAGGGGGGGGGAAACCTGCGATCCAGGGGCCCCTGAAGAAGGGGGGGGACACCTGCTATCTACGACCCCTCTGGATGCCGAGAATCCCGAGGGCGAGGGAGGAGGGAGAGGAGAAGGAGAGCGGACAAGAGCTGGGGTTCCGACTGTTTCAGGATGAGGGAATGTCTGGAGGGGGGCTCCTTTTGTTCATCCTCCTCCTTGTCCTCTTCCTTCTCCTCCTCCTCCTCCTCCTCCTCCTTCTCCTCCTCCTGCCATATCTGCATTCGCTCCCGCCTGCCAATCATCTGTGCTTTCCCCTCTGGTCCTCCTTGTGACCCCTCCCACTTCCGCTCAAGCCGTTGCGATGAGGCCTCGAACAAGAACCAAAACCGCTCGGAAAGGACCTAACACCACTCAGCAAACTGAAGAACGAAAAGTCGATCCTCAATCCTCTGGGATGTTGTCCCCTCCCTGCTTTGACACAACATCGCTGGCAGCGCGAAGTGCGCGGCAAGCGAGCGGGCACGAGAAGGAGGCCCACAAGAGGCTCACGGGAGGGGCACGCGAGGGACACTGGCCCGCGGCCCAGCCGCGCCGCGAGCCACCCCCGCCGCGATCCACCCGCGCCGCGACCCAACCACGACCCACCCGCGCCGCCGACGGCGATCCGCACCGCGGCATCCTACCACAGTCACGGGCCCTCGGACCGTGTGAGACCGTTCATGCCCCCCTACTCTTCAACGCACACCGTTTGCAAAAGCAAGCGCATGCACACGCGCTTCTTGGAGGTCGCGGCCTCGCGCCTGGCGACGAGGCGAAAATAGCCGAAAGCGGTGGGGAACGGCGGGGTACGCACACCAACGCACACATCCACATGCATGTGTAGACGTCTGCACAGTACGCAACAAATCAAGCACGCCTTTTGCAGCATGCATGCCTGCCCTGCTGCTGCGCCGCGCTGCTGCTGCCTGCCCGTGCCAATCCAAACATTAGACGCCGCGCCGCGCCTGCGCCCCGCCCGCGCGGCCCGGCGCGCTGGTCGCCGCCCCGCCAGCAGCAGGGAGGCCGCCGTCGGCAGCACGCCCGCCGCCGTGCCTCGCAGGCCTTCTGCCGGAGAGGGCCGCCGTCGGCGTCGGCGTCGGCGACGACAACGACGACGACGACACGAGGACCACTATGACGACGACCACGATGACAATGGCGATGGCGACGACGACGACGAGAACCACGACGACGACGACGACGAGGAACACGACGACCGTGAGGAGGAAGAGGAGGACGACAACGACAACGAAGAAGCCGTCGTCGTCGCGGTGGTCGTCGGCGTCGTAGCCGCGGTCGGCGGGACGTCGTAGTCGTCATCGGCGGCATCGCGGTCCTGTTCGTCGTAATCGGCAACGTGTTTGTCGTCGTCAGTTGGTGATCGAGGAGTGATGATATTAGGCGATTGGTGTGCCAATTATCTCGACTTCACGGCGTCGTGTTGGGCTTTTTGTGCCCATTGTGTCTCCCAGCCCTCCGGCGTTGGGTGCTTGTTTTGAACAGAGCGCTGCGGTTTTCCATTTCCCTCCCGCCTCCTCTCTCCTCTATTCCCTCCTCATTTCCTGACCATTACATGGCTCTTTCCTGCCTGCCAGCCTTTCTCCTACCTCGCCGTCCTACCTGGGGGGCTCGCTGGGGGCGTGAGAACTGCGAAACCGTCGCCAATTTCGAGAACTGCTGGGGGTCCAGCAGAGTAACGTCATACGCGGATTCAGGTTCGACCTCGCCATCCCTGGGGGCGCCATCTCTGGGCGACTACGAGCTGCAAAACTGTCGAAACTCTCGTTGGCTCCTGGGGGGCCAGCCAGATCACAGCGGGACCTCGCCATCCTCTGCACTTCTGGTGGCCTCCACGGGGCTTCCACGGGGGCCTGGAGGTGACCCGAGAATGCGAATGCGGGGGAGAGTCGCCGCCGTCGTCGCCGCGGGCCTTCAAGGGGGAGGCCTGCGGAGACTTCAGCCCCGCGGCCCCGTGGTTGTCGCCGCCGCCGCCATCGCCACCAGCGTCGTGGTCGTGGTAGTGGTCGGTGGTCGTGGTCGTGGTCGTGGTCGTGATCGTCGTGGTCGTGGTCGTGGTCGTCGGCGGCCACGACGACGACGACGACGACCACGATTGGGCCAGAAATGGAAGGGTTCGGCTTCCTCCTCCACCCTTCCCCCCGCGGCTTCCGCGCGGAAACTGGGGTAGGGCTCTCCTCGATCGCCTCCTCCCTCTTTTTCTCCTCCTCCTCCTCCTCCTCCTCCTTCTCCTCCTCCTCCTCCTCCTTGTTCTCCTCCTCCTCCTCGCAAGAGAGGAAGGGAAGGACGTTTCGCCCCCGACCCCTAAAGGATCGAAGGTCGAGGATCTCAGGCGCTTTTGGCAGCCTTTGCCGCCTTTGCCTCCCATTTCTGGCGCCTCCTGGAGCGATGGTCGAGTGAGCGAGGATGAGGACGAGCACAGGTAGTGCAAGTGAGAATGAGAGGGAGAGGGGAAGAGGATGAAGGAGGAGAGAAGGGGGAGGAGGAGGGGGAGGAGAGGAAGGAGGAGAGATGGGGGAGGCGGGTGAGGAGGAGGAGGAGGAGGCTCCAGAAGGAGGAAGAGGAGGAGGAGGATGGAGGAGGAGGGAGAGGAGAAGGAGGAGGATGAGGAGGAGGAGGAGGAGGAGGAGGAGCAGGAGGAGGGGGAGGAGGAGGAGGAGCAGGAGGGGGGAGGACAAGAGGAGGGGGCTGAGGAGCAGCAAGAGGACGGGAATGGTAGTCTGGATTCTCGCCATCTGTGGAGACGTGCTCCTCGGGCACACCTGCCGCTGCATCTCTGGGCAACGCCACTCCTGGACCTTACTCCACATTCTGGACCAGACTCCCAGTCCTCCTCGACTCATCCCCCTCCCTCTCCTCATCCTCCTTCTCCTCATACATCCGGCTCCGCTCCTTATTCTCCACACCCCTCTCCAATTCCTCGACCTCCTCTTCCTCGCCCTCCTCATCATTCTCCTCTGCCCTCCTCGCCCCCTCGCTCTCCTGGGGGGCCTCGGAACTCCCCCAGACTGCCCGGAGAGCACTCTAGGACTTGGAGACCCCTCCTGCCCTGCCCCACACACGGCCCGCAGACTAGGAACATCTTGGGCAGCCCAAAAGGGGGCTCCACGTAATAAGGGGCTGGTGGCAAACAAATAGCTGGGACTGAAAGATCTCTCGGTCTCCCGTCCGGAAGAGAGTGCGCCCGTCCACGGCCTCGGGGCATGCAAAGAGCCGCGCGGCGACTTCCCGCAGCCGTTGAAGGAGCTGCTGCGTTCAGGGTGCTCCAGGCTTCCACTCAGGTGCACCTCGCGCACGCGTTCCCAGGGTTGGGTTTCTTGCGAGGGTATCTTGCGGCCGCGCCCGCACAGTAATTGGCTTACTCTTCATGACGGCACGATGACTGTACGGCAGGTTCAAGCCGTGCTGGCCCAGCGGCAACCCTAACGCGGACGTTCCAAGTTGAACAACGGCAGTGGCCTGGAACTGGCCAACATCGAAGGACCCGTGTTATGGGAGAGCCGCGATCTTTCAAGGTTGAACGATCCACGCGATGTCAGAATTCTACGCGCAAGTCGTCACGGCAAACTTGCCGGAAAGCTTATCAGCGTTTGAGGCCCCTCCATGGCCTGCATGGGGGGCCCTCGTGATAGAAACACCGCCGCATGACGGGATGAGCCAAAGTATCCGTGAGCGCTTAGCGCGTGGACCACACCAGAGGCTGTATGATTACATTTGTTTGGACAGTTGGTACATGGATCAGTTCAGGCGTGCGAGTTGTCTTAGGCAGATTGTTACGCTGTTGAGAGCCTCTCCTCGAGGATTTCCTCGGTACGTTTCAGGGAACTTTTGTCCAGACAGCCCAATGGGGGGTTGGCAGCAAGAAGATGGTAGTGCTTTTGGAGTTTCGTATTGGTTGATTATACTGGCGCGTTCGCATCGCCTTGGATCCCACTTGCGGTCGTGGCTACGGCACGGCTGCTGCGGTGCGACTTGGGCACTGCGGCGGGAAGGAAGGCTGGGGCGGGAAAGGAAAGAGAGGGCCGCAGGCGGCCGGAGCGCCCCCGGAGCGTGAAGCACTCTGGCGCGGGCCAGAGGCAGGCTGCCCTTCTTCTCCGGTTCGTGGCCTCGTGTCCAGCAGCCTGGGCCTGGGGAGAAGTTCGGCCTCGTGGCCTCGTGTCCAGCAGCCTGGGTCTGGAGAGAATTGTGGGGATCTGGCTGGGAGCAACTCCCACGACGGTGAGGCTGAGTGCCCCAAATCAATGACATGTTTTTCGGAGGAGGAAGCGGAGCGCATGCTCGGCGGCGGGACAGCGCGAGAATACGGCAGCGGCAACGGCGGCGGCCGCCAGGGGGGGCCGCCTGCCGCGGAGCGCGGGGTGCCCGGGTGGGCGGCGCGGCGGCCCGGGGGCGCGGCCTGCGCGGGGGTCGTCGTCGTCGACGTCGTCGCCGTCGTCGTCGTCGTCGTCGCCGTCGCCGCCGCCGCCGCCGTCGTCGTCGTCGTCGTCGTCGTCGTCTTCGTCGTCGTCGTCGTCGTCGTCGTCATCATCGTCGTCGTCGTTGTCGTCGTCGTCGTCGTTGTCGTCGCCGTCGGAGTCGGAGACGGAGGAGGCGGAGTGTCTAGGTTCTGCTCCGCAGCGCGCTATACCACCCCTGGAAGACTCATGCAACTATTTTTCAATGTGTAGCCCTCCATCCCTGATCCCGAACCCACGATCTCAACGCTGAGTCAGCCGCGGCCGACGGAAGAAAAAATCGAATCGCGCGGCGCCCCGCGTGAAAGTTGAAATGGAGGAGCGCGGGGAGACGGACACCGCGCGAGAGTTGAATTACTTGTCCAGGGTAGCGTAGGACGAGAATGGTGTCCTGATGCGATTGGCTCAGGAAGCGTTGCAAGAATTCCCAGAGCATTCCGCGGCCCTTGCTTCTGGAGCCCGTGCGGAACAGCATGGGATATTGGAAGTCCTGGGCTTTGGAATTGTTGGAACGTACCACTGTCATAACGTATCGCTGGCATGACTTATCACTTCTCGGATCCACGTCGTGCCATCATCTTCCTCTTCGTGCTCGTCCTCTTCCTCGTTCGCGTCCATTCCAGCACCCTCCTCCTCCTCCTCCTCGGCGTTGTCCTCCTCCATCTCGTGGGCCGCCTGGCCTTTCTCCCTCCTTGAACTCCTCCTCCTCCTCCTCCTCCTCCTCCTCCTCCTCCCCCTCCTCCTCCTCCTCCTCCCCCTCCCCCTCCTCCTCCTCCTCCTCCTCCTCCTCCTCCTCCTCCTGTTCCAGAGCGCAGCAGTCACATGGGGTTGCGGGCGGCTCCCACAGCGGAGCTGCCGCCGGTCACGTCCCTGAGGTGGAGATGCCTCCTCGGCGCACTTCCAGTAGCTCCAAAGATGCAGAGCGGAGTCCCTCCAAAGAAGGAGAGCTCCCACCCACATCGCGGGCCCGTTGGGCGCTCGTCTCTCAAGGGTGGCGCTTCACGCAGAGCAGATCTGCCAGCGCTCCTGCAGCGGCGGAGGTGCGTCGGGCCTGCACTGTTGTCAGGCATCTCGCTCCTTGCATGGCAGTAGTGGTGGACCCCGACGCATCGAACCCACGCGCAGTAGCCGCTCCCAGACATGTCCATGTAGATGTTCTTTTGCCGATGCGCCGTCCAGGCGCGGCTCTTGAGTGTGTGAGTGCGGCGTTCAACCTTGAACGCCCGCGTTGGGGTCACCGCAACGTCATTGCGGTGTGAACTTACCGTAAGTCCATGTTGCGGCAAAGATCGTTTTGATAGCGTGTCGCGGCACAGGCCCCAGCGACACGCTATGTCTTGCAAGCGGATAGCGTGTCGCTCCGCTCCGCTGGGTGGGAGGCTCGGGACGTTGGCGCTTGGACGCGGGGACGTGGATAGCGTCTCGCGCCGAAGCGTATCGGGCCAGAACCGTCGGAGCGACTCGCCAAGCCGTAGTTCCCGACCGCACGTAGGTCATCTCTGCTGCGCGACGCGCAAGTACCTTCACGCTCTCGCGCCCTCGCGCCGCCCCCTGGAAGGAGCGCACCTCAGCGGCCCAGGCCACGACGCTCGAAGCGCGATTACCTCCGCACCCCCACGGGTGGCTCGGGCTACAGTCAGAAGCGGCGTTCAGGATGGGCCCTTCTCGCAAGGGCACCGCGCTTCTTCAGCTCTCAGGTCGTTCCGAGGGTCTTGCATCCAGGATGCGGCATCCCGAGAATCCATCCTTCTCGCTGATCTGAACTGTACCGCTGCTCGTCCTGGGGGGCCCTTGGCGCCGCGGCTGGATTCTCACCGGAAATCTGAGCAGAGCGCTGCCCAGGGGAGGTCTGCGGGGCAGCGGCATCGGTACCCTTCCCCCCCCCCTCCCGGGACGAAGGCACGTTACTGCGAGAATCCACCCGAGCAGGGGCTGCCTGAGCCAAGGCGGCTGCGGTGAGGTGAAGCATCGTTGAGACATCTGGGGGTTTACTCTGGCCCTCCGTCTCCTCCTGATCCCTCTCCGAGCCGCTATCCCTGCGTTCCTCCCTCCTCGCCTCCTTCATGCTGCTGCTCCTCTTGCTGTTCTGGCTGCTCCTGTCAATCTTCATTCTCCCCCCCTTCTCCCCCTCTTTCTCGGGGAGGAGGAGGGGGGTGGAGGAGGAGCAGTAGCACCAGCAGGCGGGGCGGGAGGTGGAGGGAGAGAAGGAGGAAGGAGAGGAGGAGGAAGAGGAGGAGGAGGAGGAGGATAATAGGATGGAGGCGCAGAGAGGAGGGAGAAGGTCGAGGAGAACAGCGGGAAGCGGGAGGGGTCATCTGCTGTGGGTTTCCAGGGGGGGGGTCCTCAAATACTGGAAGCCTTAATGACTGCTTATGTTTTCACGGGGTCCGAACCCATCCCGAAGGAGTACTGTGTTTTTGTTTGAGACCCTGGCCTGGAAAATATAAGCCCTCGAGACGACGGTCGACGGACGATCGATGACGAAAGGGGCCGCTCGAATTGAGCAGGGACCGACCGTCCCAACATCCCTACAGGCCTACCACGACATGCTCTTGGAACCGAATAATGTTCTCATAACGAAAACCAAGTTCTTAGAACATAAAGCCGGCGTGTGTTAAAACAACACGGCGTCAGCCAGAAACGTTCCAAGAGTATTTCGCGCAAACAGCAAATAGGGTTCGAATGACAGCTATAGGCGAGACGGTCTGTGGCCCCAGACCTCCGACGTCATGCCTTTCTCATGACGTCGACCTCCAGAGGTCGGGACCCCCTCCCTGGGACCAGTTTCTCATCCTGAATTGTGTTTGACGGTCCCGAGGCCCGGTGAAGGCCTCCAGAGGCCGAAAATTGAGAAAAACCTCCCGTCATGACTTTTTGTGACTCGAGGGGTTCTGGGTTCCCTCCTCCCTGCTCCTCCCCCCCTCCCCCCCGAACCGGATTTCGTCCGTTGGGCCTATAGGCGAGCTGGGACGCTTCGGCACAGCCGGACCGAGAGAGCCGCCTGGCGGCACGGGCCGCCCGCAGCCAGGGCAGCCAACACGGGCGCGCTCATAGCCTGCGCGCGCACGCGGCCGCCTGAGGGGCGGGACGGCCTGCCGGCACGGACAGGGGAGGGGATCCGCCTGCTCGAGAGGAGGAGGGGGAGGAGGAGGAGGAGGAGGAGGAGGAGGAGGAGGAGGAGGAGGAGGAGAAGGAGGAGGAGGAGGAGGAGGAGGAGAATGAAGAGGAGGAGGAGGAGGAAGAGGAGGAAGAGAAAGAGAAAGATAAGGAGGAGGAGGAGGAGGAGGAGGAGGAGGAGGAGGAGGAGGAGGAGGGGGAGGAGGAGGAGGGGCCCCGCTGCGAAATGGTCACGGCGGAAAAACAGTTGGCGAGCTCCCGCCTCCCGGGGCCATCACCGGGCCCGCCAGCCACCAGAGCACGACTCGGGATGAAGAACCCGGTCCCGCTGTGGGGGGGTCGCGCTGTGAGCAAAAAGCGACGTGGTCTGGGTCCTCCTCACCCGGGGGGGTCGCGCTGTGAGCAAAAAGCGACGTGGTCTGGGTCCTCCTCCCGCCTCGTCTGGTGGCGGCGCACGAGGGGGTGGCGCGAGGGGGCGGCTTTTTTGAAGCAGGCGGTGGGCCTGCTGAAGAAGGCAGGCTGATTCTGAGCAGCCCTCCAGGCTTCTGACACATCTCTGGGCTCTTGGAAGAAGGCCCCTTGGCCCTTCTCGGGGGGTCCCTGTCTTGAAAAAGAGCCACACGCTTTCTTTGGAGGCCGGCCATCCCGTCGTCATCCCCTCGCTCGCGCCGCCAGCACCTCTCGGGGAGGACAAGGGCATGGAGAAGTACCCACGAGAAGTGGTCGGGACTGGGACCCCTGGGGAAGTGCATCGTGCATCTGTTTCACTGCGAGGGGACGCGGCGTGCTTTTTCTAGATGTGCTGCGTGCGCGGTGTTGGCAGCGTCTAGGGGCGCGCATTGAACACATCCGCCGACCCTCGCTTGCCGCGGATGCAAAGGCGTGTAAGACAGGGGGCTGTCCCCTCTCGCTCTCCCCCCTCCCTCTAGAATCCGGAATCCCGTTGCAGTAGGGGGGAGGGGCGCGAGGAGAGGGGGGGGCGGGGTCCACGAGCTTCCCCGCACACTTCCCTGGCTGGCCCTCGGGGCCTCCGAGTCAGCCCCACGGCGGCCTTCAAGATACCGAAGGTGCCCGCTAAGATGGCTCAAGAGAAGCTCCAACGCGCCTAGAGGCCTCCATAACATCGAAGATGGCCTCAGGACGGCCCAACAGACCTGGAAGACGCCCAGCCCAACGCCTCAAAAGGCCAACACATGAGTCTTCTCATGATTTAGACAGAGTTGCGCATTCTCGCCATTTCGGGGCTCTGAGCACCGCGGCGGCCCGAGAAGACCTCCAGAAAAGCCGACGGCGACAAAAGAGGCCACCAAGCGAGCCCCAAGATGGCCCAAGAAGGCCTCGAGAATGCCCAAGAGCTACGAGACATTAAAAAAAGGCCCTCGAGAGGGTTCCACGAAGGGCCAGAGAGGCCCGAGAAGGGGAACCCGTAGGGTCAGCGGGAGCCATCCCCCACAAGATGTCCCCACGCGACCCCGAAGGAGTCCTGAGGGCCCCCCAAAGCACCCAGGAACCCTGCAAGGGCTCCCAAGAGGCAGCCAACAGACGAGGAGGAACGGGGGGGCAAACCAGAAAAAGCGACACGCAGGCAGCACGACGGGAAGCGACGAATCGCGCATACTAGATCGGAAGCTGGGCATCTCCTTTCGGAGGAGTCGGCGGGATGATGCAAGCCGCCTGGATCACGCGTCCTCCGATGTGTGCAGGATCCTGCAAGATCCAGCGCTCTGGCTGAACCCCGTCTGCACTGACCCCGTCTCAAGGCTCCCGATCATCCTCGCTGCCGCCGACGCCGGGGTGGACGTTGACGTCGACGTCGAAGTTGACGTCGATGTCGTCGTCGACGTCATCGACAGCCGACGTCGTCGACGTCGTGGTCGACGCCGAAGTTGACGTCGACGTCCTCGTCCTTAGCGTCGAAGCCGTCGCTGGATTTGACGTCGCCGTCGACGTCGACGTCGACGTCCTGGCCTTCGCGCGCCGCGGCTGCCCACAGACGCAGGCCGGCTGCTCGGCGGGAGGGCAGGCGCGAACGAACAGATACATAACGATGAATGTTCGAAGCTCCGCGCGGATTTCTCGGATCGGCGCTGGAGCCCCCCGGTTCGCTCCGGTCGCCAGGGAGGGGGGGTTCCAGCGCCGATCCACGAAATTAGCACGGACCTCCGAAAGTTCATGTTTGAACCGCTTTTTGTTCCTCAACGCCGATGTGGGCGTCATCCTCGACGTCGACGTCACCGCAGTCAAGCTTGACCTCGTCGTCGAAGCCATTGTCGTCGTCGATGTCCTCGACGTCGAGGTCGTCGACGCCATCTTCGACGTCCTCGACGTCGACGCCCTCGTCCTCGTCGATGTGCCCGTGCCAGCTCTCCTCCCCCAGGGGGGGCGGCCGGCTGCTCGGCGAGAGGGCCGGTGCGGGGCAGGCCACACCCGCGACGGGTGCGAGCTCAGGAGGACCGCTCGGGGGGCGGCCCTCAGACGGTAACTAATGGGCGGGCTGGGGGGGGGGAGAAACGTTCACCTTTCGCGCCGCTCTCAGGCCCCAGGGCACAGGAGGTGCACCTTTCTTCACCCCCCCCACTAATCACCCCCCCATTGCTCGACTCCCGAGCGTCGGGAGAGCGTGCGCGACCCAGCGAGAGAGGACTCCACGGCGCGCGCGGAGGGCGAGGGCGAGGGCTTCGACGCCGGTTTCCACGGCTTCGAACACGAGGACGAGGGCGTCGACCTCGACGTCTACATCGAGGACGTCGACGATGGCGTCGACGCCGTCGTCGTCGTCGTCGACGACAACGACCTCGACGACGAGTTCAACCTTGACTGCGGCGACGTCGACGATGAGGACGGGGGCGGAGAGGACGCCAAGCAGTCCAGTCCAGTCCTCCCTTCATCCACCTCGACCCACGCCCCTCCTTCCGCCCTCCTCGCCCCTCGTTCCTGGAGGGACAACAGCAAGCATAAACATAAACATGATACTTAGGAGGTCTGCGCGGATTTCTTGGACCCGCGCTGGGCCCCCTAACTGGAGCACGCAGCGCGCCAAGGTCAGGCGTCGGCGAGGCCTTGAATAGTGGGACCTGGTTTAGTGATGTGTACGGGGGATACCCCCCCGCCCCGTTCCACTAACGGCTGCCGTCGCCCGAAGAAACACCAGCCACGGCAGACCTGGTTTAGTGATTATGGCCAACTTGTGGGGTCTCGGGGCCCAATCACTAACCGGCTCCCCTTACCTGGGGTCCTGGCGATCCCCGACAGGAGCGGCGCTAGAGGCGCCGCCGGCGGGGCCCAGCGCCTCCAAGTGATCCGCGCGGACCTCCGAAGGTCTCTGCGCACGGGCCACATGGAAACAGTCTGACTGGGGAGCGCGACGGCGCCCCTTGCACCTATCGGCGACAAGCGAGAGGGGAACTCAGAAGGAGAAGGCATGGTGAGACGGCGGCGGAGCTTCTCAGTCTGGCCTTCTGAAAGGTTGTTGTGTCTTCGGGGAATGCTTAGAAAACTTCCCAAAGGCTGGGGGACTTCCGAGCCTTCTGAGAGGGCCCACCCCTTCTCACTTTCTCCCATCGCTCGCCGTCGAACCAAGAATCTGACGAAACTCCCCCTCTACAGATCCCAGTCTGGTTTCTATACCGAGTCGTCCTCTCGACTGTCCCCAGGCTCAGCCAGCGCCACCTAGAAAGCCGAGAACTGCCAAAACAGTCGTGTTTGGCGTGTGTCTTTACATGCTTCTGGCCACGACGAGGCCGCAGGCGAGAGACCCAACTTGGGCGCGGCGTTTTCTTTATACGTGAAAGTACGTGCGCGGAGGGGGGGACCCGACACGCGCCTGGCGCGTGCGCGCGGGGCACGTACTCTCACGTGTCCACGGCCCACGGCCCCGATCGAGGGACCCAATCAAGCGGGCAAGATTCTCTACAAGAGAAACACCTGCGCGGGGGGGAACACAGCATGCGCCTGGCGCGTGCGCGCGGGGCATGTGTTCTCACGTGCCCACAACCCCAAAGGGGGGAGCCAACTTGGGCGCGGCGGAGCCTCTAAACGTGCCAATGCGTGCACGGAGGGGGGGGACACAACATGCGCCTGGCGCGTGCGCGCGGGAGGGGACCCAACATGCGCCTGGCGCGTGCGCGCGGAGCACGTGTTCTCACGTGTCCGCTGCCCCCAGGGGGGGGGGGAACCCAACTTGGGAGCGCCTGAAATCTTACACGTGACAAGACGTGCGCGGAGGTTGAGGAGACCCAACATGCGCCTGGTGCGTGAGCGCGGGGCAAGAGCGTTCTCATGTGTCCACGGCCCTCAACAGGGGACCCAACTTGGGCGCGGCGGATTCTCTACACGTGACAATAAATGCGCGAGAGGGGGGGGGAAGGGGGGGGGACAACATGTGCCTGGCGCGTGAGCGCGGGGCACGTGCTCTCACGTGTCCACGGACCCTGGAAGGGGGGGACCAACCTGGGCGCGGCGGTGTCTCTACCTACACGTGCCAATACGTGCGCGGAGGGGGGGGACACAACATGCGCCTGGCGCGTTCGCGCGGGGCACGCGTTCTCACGTGTTCATGGCACCCAAGGGGGGACCCAACTTCGGCGGAGGAAGGAGGAAGGAGGAAGGAGGAGGAAGGAGGAGGAAGGAGGTAGGAGGAAGGAGGAAGGAGGAGGAGGAAGGAGGAGGAGCAAGAGGATAAGCAAGCAGGTCGTAATTACAGGAGGTCGTGGTTGCAGCCAAGCAGCGGGAAAGTGCTGCACGAGCGTCAGAAGAAGGTTTGACTCAAGTTCCTTACCAGTATCGCGTATCCCTCAAGTTGCATGCTGAGAAGACGTGGGGGGAGGTGCAGAGGAGACAGCTTTTCGGGCATGCAAGAGCATCCCAGCCGCGCCAGGTGCGCGATGAGATGTCCGACGATTCAGGCAATGGCTGAGACGACCCCACCGCGCAAGGGCCGTGCCCGTCCTACTGGTGACGAGGAGGGGAAGAAGAA